AAATACTTATATTTTTTGGGGCTAAAGTTTTAATCATTAGGTCGGTAAAGATGTAATTGGTCAACGGTTGATGGCTAGGGGTTCAGCATATCTTTTACAAGCTTTCACATATTTGTATCTCACATTGATCGGACTAAGGTAACAGCTCCAAAATCCCATTTACCTTATTAAGCAAATGTCCACTTGCAAACATCTTAGGATGGAAGTAACTTCGAAACTACTCATGGCTCAGGCTTGGTTGAGGCTTTAGGGGGTACTCTCAGGTGTGCATGGCTCATGTAGTATGGAGAACTTCTTATTTTTATGAAATTATTTATAACATGAAACATATTAATTAGTGCTACTTGATTGATATTGGTTAAGATAATCTTTATAAAAAGTATCCGTTAACCTATTATATAAATTTGTAAGATAAGTTTGGATTACTTGAATTTCGATTCTAAAAAACACTGAGGCATAAAGTTAAAAGTCAAATTAATAATAATATAAAGAGTGTTCCTGTGCATTCCCAATCAATTTGATTGACATTTATAAGTTGGTCTTGGCACTTTATTTGTTGAGCAAACAAATACATCTTTTTCGCAATAAATTTGAGCATAAAGAAAGAGTTTGTCTTTTAGATCTGTGGGACTTTTTGCATGGACCAAAGCAGCTTTAGTGGTTGCAAACTGATCATCACATCAAACGGGAACCAAGGTGGGGGATTTGATTTGTAGGGCTTTAGAGGGGGGATGGAGGATGGACCATTTGGCATGGCCGCCAGGTTCGAACTATAAGCCACAAAAAGTCAAGGTGAAGTCACAAATGGTTGTGTGAATGTGGAACCGTCCGGGAGCACTCTCCATAGAATTAATTGGAAGATGGCATTGTCCTATATTTGGAGCAATAGGGGTCAAGTAGGGGTCCATGGGTGAACAAGAAAATCGCCCACCCTGATTTTCTCCAAGTGAAAGCAGTGGGCAGCATTGCTTGCTTGTCTTCCTCAACCCTACATATGTGTTCCCTTGAACACCGATTAGTCAAGCCACCCAACTCTCTCCCCTTGGGTCATTACGTTCACAAAAGGGAAAATCAGAGAGGATGACAGTGTCGAGAGTTAGTTTTGATGTACCAGTTTTCATAATAAATTCAGTTGGTTGAGTACTAGAGACAAATCATACACGCGTATGTGCTGGGATTGAATGATCAAGATTTTCCAATAATCCACAAGTTTATCATCACTTCGTTTCTTTCTTTCCAAACCAGTGGATCAAATCATGAGTTTCAAGATTCCAAAAGATTAAAACCATCACTGTTTTGATGCGAAAGGGGGATAGGAATTGGTCTGCAAACGATGATTCTACCTAGTAGCTACGGCCATTTCGTAGCTCTTAGCTTTAGTGGAATTTCCATTGGATCAAATTCTTTGGTCCCTATTAGGGAAATCCACTTGCCAACATACGCAAGCATCATGCATGTACCCCAACAAAAACTTCTGAAAACTTGAGTCTCTTGACTCTTGAGGTTGATTTTGTCTCAATTATTGAATCGGATTTTGCTTGTATATATGATCAAATCAACATAATTTTTCCTAATCAGTGAATGAAACACGGTCAGTTCCATCAAGATTAGAGAGATAGGGAATGGGCATAGGACACGGGCATTTCTTATACAGCTATAGAACCAGAAATGTAATATAATATGGTTTCAAAACATATCTCAAACAGGGACGATGTTGTCTTGCGCCCATAACTGATCTCATTGCCAATTGCTATCGTCCTCATTTCATTTCGATTCAAAGATGTCAGGCATGGCAACGCATATGCACAACTAGGAATTTGACATCATGTTTGACGTGAGGAAGAGATATCAAAAAACGAAAAAGGAATCTGAGTTGATATCACCATATTTTAACTGAAGATCTAGCCATAAAGATAAAATAGGATTAAAAAAATCAACAAGTAACAGAATTCACACAGGGGAGGGAGTGGTTATTATGATGATAATATAATATTTGGGCAATTATATAAGGTTGAGAATATGCATGCTTTGGAGAATATTATCATTTTGTAGGGCAAAGGATCTAACCTACTGATCAATCATCTTATTTTATAAACAGTCGGATAAAAGATTGTGGGTAATTAGGCTTAAATTAATCAGAGAAAAGAGACACCTTCCCATGTGCTTCTTCCTCTATAATTATTAATTAAGCAAACGAATCAAGTGCGGTTTTGCTAGATAGGGGCTTTTCTAGGAATAATTTGGCAGGTAAAGCCTAGTACAAGTGGGTTAATTTAACAAACAAAGAAAAATTGGGATCCATTGCTTCATTGTTTAATTAAATATTAATTAAAAGCTAAAATCAAATGTTAATTTATTACCTAATAAGGCTCCTCGAGAGGTACTTGATTATCAAGGCTCCCTGTATAAAGCAATATTTTAGTGATAATACAGCAATATATGATTCTTACTAAGTACATGTTCAAGCAAAGCTTTCGGTTCAGGGACTTATAATATAGAAAGAAACCTCTAAGTTTACATGAAGGTATCCATACCCTTTGCCTAAAACAGTGGCAAATCACCATATTCAATTGGTAGAAAATGCTACCAACTTGTTATTTTATCAATCCATGTTGGATTAAAGTGTGATTAAAGTAAATGTCCCCTCGTGTGGTGGTCAGATTTTGTGGTTTGATGAGTTAGTGATGACCTTTTTTTTTAATTTTGATTTTCTTCTTCCAGGCTCCCATCTTTCTTTCTTTCTATGATCAATCTGAATCAATATAGCTAGCTAGGGGGCAAAGTAAAGGTGTGAATATTTGTGGCCTAAAGTTAAGAGATGGGCACCTCTCTTTCATGAGTGAAGAGACGCGTGCGTGTGATAAGGATAGAATAAAGGAAGGATTCAATTGTAAGTCTCTGATAGCTAGCTTTGCTTTAGTTCATCCACAAAATAAATTATAAAAAAAAAATCAAAAAAGAGAGAAGAATTTTGCCTTTAGATCATGACAGAAAGAAGAGAAAATCCGTGTTTCCCACGGGAAAAAGCTAAAAGGGTTAAAGGGCAGCTCACACAGAGAAAAGGAAGATGATATCTAAGGGCAAACTTCGATTCTTCCACACTTTTGCTACAGAGGTTTTGATCTCTTAATTAAATGAGCACAACCTTTGCCGTTTTCTCAGAACTTTTTCTTCAGAGATTATCTTTGAATTTGCAAAAACAAAAAAAAGGGTATTTCTTATTCTGTGCCACAAAATTGGTATGTTGCTTTTTGTTGGAGTGGGGTTCGAGACAATGTCAAAACTAGAAAAATCTATAATTCATATTATGAAACTTAAGCATGACCAAGCAAGTTCCTTCACGCGACTGCATTATTTCCACAATTTAGCACTCTTAAGTCATAGGCCATCGACCATTGTGCTGCTGAAATTACCTATACCATTCATCATTCAAATCATGTTTTCGTTGTCCCATGTCATGTCATGTTAGCCACCTTTGGTGCTATCAATATCAGATTAGAAGTTTCGAATAAAAAAGAGAATATTTTATGATAATTCTGTTTATCGCGATTGTTCGATTTGAATTATGAATTAAAAAAATACATTATTAATATGACATATTTTACATTTGTCTAATATAAGTTATAATTTACCAACAATCTTAAGATTTTAGTCACTTGAAATTGACATAAAATATGCACTAAATTCATATGCAATTGGTTTGAACCACTTATCAGTGCAGGCAAGTCTTCCGGAGTAACCCACCTATAGCAGACCATTCAGTACAAATTGTCCATACATAGCATAAATTAAAGTGGTGTTGTGACAGCTTCTGCAAATGCTTTAATTTCAGTACTTGTTGTAGTCGCATCCAAATTAAACTCCACCAATATCTACATCATTTGAGGTGTCACGGCATCTAATTAACTCCTTTCGGTTTTCATAGTACTGATAACAAATGAAAGAACCATATTTTTCCGAGTAGCAATCAAAATGAATTGTAATGATTTGTCCAATTCAAAGTGGCGGAAGAAAGGGGAAGATGAGAAATTTTGAGATGTTTTAAGTATGTGTTTCATTTAGTATGATTTATTTATTGAAGAGCTCCAATCGCCATCATGGAGAAGTGCGTGAGACTGATGAATATCCACGTCAATGTTAATGTCACTTGGACACCCGGAACCGGCATGTGGGGTAGCTATGTACACCAACGACCATACATCTCCTAGATCCAGTCCCCTCCATGGTTCCTTCATCCTAGTCTCAAATGGCTCACTCAATTTCTACCGAAACTTAGAAATAATCAATCAAATCACTTGAATTCAGTTAATTTATACTCGATTATTTGGGTTTTGATATAAATTTGATTTAATCAATCAATTTTTTATGTCTAAAATTTTTCAATCTAAGGACGGACCGATGACGAATAATATATATTTTTAATAATATATCCTAAATCCTTAATACTAAATAAATATTTACATTTAGAAAATATTTAGTTTGTGCTATCTTTAAGTTTATACTAATCAGAATTGTTCGCTCTAACATGTAAAGAGGTGTGCATAAAATTATGGGAGATCTATCTTTAAAGAATGTCGTTGGAATATAATTTTTTGAGAAGTTTTATGATAGACTTCATGTTCACTAATTTCTTTTCTTCAAATCGTGTTTTTTTTTTTTTAGTTAAAAGTTAGTTTGTGTTGTATATTTCGTTGAAATGTTATGTTGGATTTATTTCATTATTTGTCACTTAATGTTACATGTGAGCTGTTGTTGAACTATCTTTGTAGATTGAAATTAGAATATAGAGATGAGTAATTTTATTGATCTTTTTCTTGAGAAGTGTTAATGAAAATAATTATAATGGAATAACCGACTATAAATAATTGATTTATTGGATTAACTCAGTTTCGACTGAACGGGACAGACTCAATTCCATTATCCTTGGTGACAACAAGCTCAACCTAGACTCAAAATCTTTTCTTTTCTTTGTTTTTTTTTTTTTTTGGGCTTGAGTTTGATTCAAATGTTTGGCCAAATTCATTTAACAATAATACATAATATTTTCTTTCATCCCAAAACAAGAAATAAAAAGATTTCATACCTCGGGTTTGTTAAAATTTTACCAATCAAATGGCACCTTCTAGGGATAACAAAATTTTATTCCACAACTGGAATCAAATATTCTCTGCCAGCTTCTTCACCGCGTGCAGTCATTCTGGAATTGTCAGTGACTGTGAGTGAAAAAAACAAGGACATGTAGCATCGCAACATTCGCATACAAGCCCAACCACCACTGCAGTCCTCCTTCATAATCTGCCACGCGCGACGCAGGCTGAGACATAACCTGTTCATCATTATTATATTACCACTACTTTCTTTTCCTTTCCCCCCTCTTTGAACTCAATTCAAGAAATTAAATGCAAAATGCTTCATAACAGTAATTTCTATATTAAGAAAAAAGGAATGGAGAATACCAGAAAACTTATTTATTATATTACATGCAATTTGGTAAAAGTCAGGAAGATCATAAAGATCATATCATTACTGATTAGAACACCTTACACCATTTGGCAAAATATTCTCAAAAGCTGGGCATCGCAACACTGCATGCATAAAATATGAAATACCCTGCCGGCAAGTCTGCAACCTTTGCAGGTGCAGCAATTGCTTTCAGTACCTTGAACGGCTTCTTACCCTGCAATTTTATACAAACTCTAAATCAGCCTCCAAGCATTCCACATCAAGCAACAAAGGAATATCTGATTAACAGAGCAAAATGACCACCTCGGCGAGCAGGACTTAGAACGAGAACGGGAGCGAGAGTAAGAGGGGGACCTAGATCGTGAACGTGAACGTGAGCGTGAACGAGAATAGTATCTTCGAGAACTCCTACTCCTACTTGGACTTCTACTCCGTCTATATCTTCTGCAGTAAAGAAATTATTCACCAGATGTACAGGACATTGATAAGAGAACACCACAACATATTTTGTTATCATAAAAAGAGCATATATTGCTAAATTACATAGTTTCCCTGACAATATCAGGAACAACCCAATGAAATGTTACTAACTGCTTCTAAGAGAAGAAAATAACACAATCAAGTCTTTAACCAGATGGACCAAAAATAAAAGGGACAAAGGAAGATAATAGAAACAGCATAAGCTGAGATGCGCATCAGTAGATTTATGAACTTCTTCACCTCCCAGGTCAAAGTCTCCGGTTATTTATTTTGTTTAAACTTCAAGCAGCAATTCCTGTTTTGCATATCATGCTACTAAAGCATCTTAATATCTCCCAATTCCCTCACAACAAATAAATTAACCAACAAACAATGACTCATAAAAGCTCAGATTTATCTTTGGTTGGTTTGCAAGGACATCTTAATCTGCTGCAGAAAACTTTCATCATAAGCCATATGGATTAAACACAAGCATATAAATATTCCAGGATATATACCTTGGAGGAGAGCGACTGTAGCTCCTACTGCGGCTGCGATGCCTTTGACGACTTAATCGGCTTGTTTCTGCAAGTTTTTCCAGTCTTTGGCGCTCTTGTTCTCGTTTCTTTGCCATTTCCGCCGCTGTGTCTTTCTTAACTATAGAAGCAATCAGCTTATCAAGCCATATATACCAGTAATTCAAGGAACATGTGATACTACAAACACAAACCCCATTGTACCAACCTACCGCCTCTCCGTTGTGTTCCAAGTAAATGTACAAATAAAAACAAAAGCTAAAGAAAATCAAGAAAAAAACAGAACTCAATAACAAAGGAATACATCATTCCTCCAAAATTCCAACAGAGCATGAAAAGATATCATTGAATCAACAGCTGCATAAAGCAAATATCATCTATGTCATACTTTGCTTGTTTAACTGCCTGTTCATGATCCTTTTTAGCCGCTCCTGAGGAGTTTCTTTCTTCTCACCCTGCACCTGTTTTGAGGATCCTCCACAGGTACTTCCTTTTGTCAACTTTGCTAACGCTGACGATGTGCTGACAGAGAGGTAATAAAAATGTTAAATTCAGGCCATCTCAAACAAAATATTAAAAATGATCTTTTCTAGATAACAGTAATCACAGAAGTAAAGATTATACTGATACCTTACTGCTGGTTTTGACACTTTACCGCTCTTTTCTTTATCAAGAGACACACCAGATGCAGGATCAACATGAAGTGCCTCAAGTATGTGACCAGATGATGGCCTGCAGGAAAGGAGAAGCATTAGATAAGCCCATTTTCATGGTTTCATGCAACTGGCAAGCATTCACACAAATTCCATTTCAGGGAAAATATGAGCTTCAGAAGGGAAGCCTCCTTCCTGCTCCCTCTTTCCAGTTATGCTGATGACCCTAGGGCAGATCTATTTTAAACCAGAAAAGTTTGCCTCAGGCAACAAAATGCGGATAAGCTGCAGCAGAGTAAAGACTGTCCAATCTATCTTTGCAAGAATTAAAGGTCGAGTGCTCCGACCGGTTCAACATGTCAGCCTGGGATGGAGGCGATGATGGCGGAGAAAATCCTTCAAGCTTTGGCCCATCCCCGTCGCCCGAGCCCCCAAACTCTGTAATATACTCTATTTTTGGAGCCTTTGGTTTACTTCTATGAGAATCATCAGCATAACCTCCACGTGCATGGCGCCTTGAGTATGATGGAGAGTATGAACGTGATCTTGATCTAGACCTGAATAGGAAAACTATACTTAAAATTCCTTTTATATACAACAGACAACAGCTACAAGAGAAACCTAAGACACAGTATACCTCCTAGAACGCGGATAAGCCTCATAGGTTGGACTTCGCCTAGGTTCCCTGCAAGTAGCAAAAGAAGTATCAACATTTTAGGCATGATGTCATATCCGATACTACCAGTTCGTAGAAGAAATCTTCCAAATTTTGTACCGGTAGGGATCATTATGGAGTACTCTTGTTCCAGTTATCCGTGCAGTTTCTCTTTCTCTCTCCCTCTCAATTTGAGAAGCTTTTCTCCTTTCTTTGCGACTCAGTTTCCTCTAGAAGTTCAGAATTTTGGATTTGCAATCAGCAAAAGTTAAATTGCAAAATGCAATCATAACCAACATGTCTTATCCAACTTACAATTGCAGGATCGCCTTTGATCACTTCCTTCTGTCTTTTTTCCTCCTCTTTTGCTTTTTTATCCATATAGACAAGCCAACCATACCTTTTCACTCCAAATTCTTTTGCTATTATATCCATTCCTTCATCATTACTATCATCACTGTTGAATTCATCATCTTCCTCTTCCTCCTCCTCCTCCTCGTCCTCATCTTCATCAATGTCCGAAAAATGAGCTTCCTCTTTCCCATTTCCGTCATAAGAGAACCCAACTTGCGAATATGAACCTTTATTAGCTGGTTGTGCTGGCTGTGATCTGCCAAATATACATAAACAAGAAACAAGTAAGGACAAACACTACATATAGCAAGAAACCAAAATGAGGCACACCAATCACCTCTAGAAACAGTCTAAAACCAAACTTTATACATGCAGGTCACTGAGTATATCTTCATGATATATGCATCAAAATTGACCCAAAAAAAAAAATTTGTCCTGCTTTGCCAGAAATCAACTACTAAGGCAAAGAACACGCCCATCAAAGATCATTTCTAAAATCCATATGAAAGGAAAGTAAGAAGCAAGCCAAGTTTGTAACTTTGATCTTCTACAAAGCTAACACATTTCTAAATTAGTTTCTGAATAGCACAACACTAAGCAAAAGATTTGCTCCAACCATCTATAAAACTCCATGCTAAGATCACTCTAAAACCCTATACAGTATGAACCAAACATTTTTGAAAGAGTGCCAGAATTTGTTAGAAACGTAAATAAGACAGGCAGTTGTAAAATTATCTGAAAAATTTAACTCTAGTATTATTATATGCACCACAAATATCATCAAATGGGTTCCAAAAAAGAAATTAGACCTGTCCGATTGAAATGGTGCTGTAACTTTTGCCTCCATTTCTTGATTCACATGTTGCAAACCCTCCTCATCCATAACTGTCAAAAAATACAAAATTTCAGCTAATAAAGCTCATTTGAAAAGTAATTCCCTATTCTTATAACTGACTTTTATCCTTACACCTTACATTTGGAATGTAAGCAACACAAGGCATTCAAAACCAACAAGGAAAACTAAAAACACAATTTATCAATTCCTAGAAATAAAAAAGTACCGACATCCTCTACGCCGATGCTTAATTAAATCCCGATAACGCTCAAAATTTACAAACTCTTCTACTTCTTTTTCTTCTTCAGACTTCTCTTGATTCCTAAAATGCCGCGTCCCCGGCTCCCGAATAAAATCAAGTAGAGCTCGGCCATCAAATCTAAAATATAAAATAAATAATTAATTATTTAAAAAAACAAAACCTTATCTAAAACGATGTTACAAAAGAGAAAAAGAAGAGAGAAATTAAATTACCTATCAATCAAAACGTCTTGTTTTCCATTCCAAGGAATCCTGCAAAAAAAAAAATAAAGGGATTAAATGGAAAGCTTTTAGATATGTACTGGAACATTCATAAAATTATTTATGGAAATATTGATTAAGTTACTTACAGGCCTTGCTGGTCTTCGGTGGCGTGATAGAGAGCGTCGTCGCGGTGGATACGGCAGCGGGAGCCGATGACTTGAATGGACTGTTGAGGATCACCGCGCCTTTTGGCCAAGAAGATGGCTCTTCGTTGGGCTCTCTTTCGAGCCGCGTCCATCATGTCGTGGACTTTCCTCTCCGATCTCCTAGCTTCATGCCACATCTTTGAGAAGCGAATCGGAGGTGTTGAAACCCTAACCCTAGAGAGAAATCGATGGCGAAGGCCAAAAGGGAGCCAACGACGATAACGGGGTCTCTGGTGTTCGTTTCTGCGGACAAGTTTTGTTTGGTAGGAATTGGGCTTTCACAGCAAACTTGGTTTAAAAGGCCCATTTTTTAGCTTGGGCCTTTCCTTTGTTATCCATTTCCCTATCTTGAACAGGCCTTTCCATAAACTCAATTGACATTTTTCTTCTTGATGTACCTTTTTGTTATGTGAAAAAAAGTTAAATTTTATAGAAATTGAAAGATATTTTTATCTTTCAATTTAATATTTTTAAATACAAATTTTTTTAAATTTTAAATAATTTCATCACTTGATTTGCGATATTAAACTCAATAATTGATTTACTCTATGTTAATTCTGTAGTTAAATTTTTTTTTAATGTGAAATTTCGATGCAAAACTATCTACGAGCGGCAAAAGTCACGACAATTACTTAAGACGATGATCACAACTTTGAAAAAACAAATTAAATATTACCCTTGTTTTTTTTTCTTGTCCTTCTTACCTTGAGAATGAAATACATATATTATTATTATTATTTTTATTTTTCTCTCTTAATGATATTATTAATAAACCTTGTCAAGTTTGGAAAAATCAGGAATTGTGCTGTGTGGAACCTACAGTATCTTGAATTCTTAAAAACTAAGACTATAATAACATTAATAAAGGTGACAATTCGTTTTAGTATATATGAATAATTACCGTTTTTTAGTAATGTCCATATAAGTTTAATCTCGTTCGTTTCTGTTAAAACATGTACCTACCCACAACCAGCTTTTCTGGTCTCCCGTGTTATTCCTTGACTTTTCAGTTCAAGGGAAATTTCTGAGTAATCTGGCCTCTGCAAATTGACTTGGTCCCTAAATAATGAGTAAGAAAACCATAGCACTATAGCAGTAATCTTCACTTTGATTTTCACATTTGGCACCAAGAAAAGTTTGATAAAAAAAGAGAAATTTAGGTGAAGCAATGGATAGCAAAATGGTTTTTGCCTTGCTCTTTGTGAGTCTTGCACTACTACTTCTGTTTCCATCAACAAATTGCAGTACAGGGATAGGAGATGCAGCAGGTGGTGGTGAGTTCTCTGATTCTCTTCATGAAGTTTCAGACTGCAGTTTCAGTTCTTCAGTTGAGTTCCAACAAGAACAGCATATTGCTTGGGAGATGACCATACACGGTTTTAACAGCAGAACTGGACCTAAAATGGCGTTAACCTTCCAAGATTTGTACGGTAATTCTACTCCGGTTGTACTTTCAGGTTAGTGCTGTTCAAGAAAATACATACTTTAACTGCGTATATAAAACTTAAGCTGCTTCAGCACACTAATTAGTTCCTTCAACTGGTAAAAAGCTTTCTACGGAGACAAAAAAGGACACATGGATGATATAGATATTGTCACCCTCGTTTTAACTTACTGTTCGAGCAACAAGATGCGGAAGCTTTGGGCCCTTATTGTAATGGATGGCCCTTCATCACTCTCAACAACTTCCTCGCGACTTCAAGGCGCTATAAACAGTACATTTCGGGGAACCTACAGAAGCCAGGACTCGAGTTCCGGTAGCGCCGGAAAAAAGATGATCGACGGGGCACTGGTGATATCAAACACTACCCAGTTTTTGGGCGTAAATATTAATGACAAGAACTACAGGACATTCACAGAGCTTTATAACTCTTTTGATGAACTGGTTGAGATGGTTGTCGTTGAGGTCAGATTCCCATTCTTTTTTGGGCTCCCCATAGTTTTTTTTGGTTGAAAAGATAAGTAAAATTTAAGCATTGATCATGTTAAACCGTATGAGAAAAGAAAATCAAAGTCAGCAGTTAGGTCTTTGACACAAATATTTATATGGCCAATTCCCCAACCAATACAGGTAAACTTTTCTGGGAGGAGAATCTTCAAGCCCTGAAAGCCTTGTCCATTCTCTGTCTTTAATCTCTATATATAAATGTGATTTTTTTACTTGGATATAGGTATCGCTTAGATCTATAAAGAAGTGGTTTGATACAGCGGTTGGTGACATAGAGATTACAGCAGATCATCACCAGCCTCCGAGATTCTCTCGGAAATATTTGGAATCACGGTTCACGATGGTGGTTAAGGCAAAACCCAACGAATTGGACAAATTTTGGTGGTTCCTAAGCCCCTTCACACTAGAGATGTGGCTTACTTTGGTAGCTTTGAGTGTATTTACAGGATTTGTTACCTGGATAATTGAACGGCGGAACGAGAATGGACCTAATTTGGTAGAAGCTCTGCTATTCTTTATGCATAGTAAGATAACCATGTAAATGCATGTGGAGTTAAACTTATAAATAATTGATCATGGATTTTTTTTATTATTGTATAGTACAATCTATGATAATTCAAGAATGAAGGAGTGCTGATCAGTTTTTTGAATTTTCATATTACAGGAGATGCACCAAGGAACAGATTAACTAATTTTGTGCAGGTCCCATGGTTATTCCTGGTCCTGGTTGTCACTTCAACCTATACAGCGAGTTTTTCTTCCATGGTAACAAGCTCAGAAACTAAGCCACCTTGCTTAGATATGGAAAACCTCAAGCTAACAAATGCTATTATCGGTTGTGATGGAGATTCTATTATCTTCCGTTATTTAGTTGAAACCCTTGGGTTCAAACGAAAGAATATCAAGAACATGGCTCGATCTTCAATCGATGATTACGCAAAGGCTCTATCAAGTGGAAATATAAAGGCTGCATTCTTTTCAACGGCTCATGCCGATGTTTTCCTCGCTAAATACCGGAAAGGCTTCAGCGCGTGGGAACCAATCCGTAATCTACCCCATTCTACACTTGTAATATGAACGATGCTCTTCTGTTCCTTTACCCTGCCTTTTGGTTACTTTGTTTTGTTGTTCAAGCTTTCGGACATGTCGTTTTACCATTTTTTGGTCTTGTATTACAGGTGTTTCCACGGGGTTCTCCGTTTATTTCAGAGCCTAAGTTCAAGCAAATGAAGGAATATATGCTATCTTTTTTGGATTGTTCAGGTTCAACAATTGATGGCACCATGAAACGAGGAATAGGACCAGGCCCCTTCTCAGGTTTGTTCTTTTTATCAGGCGGTGCATCTGCAATTGCAATGTTAATCACGCTCATTCGTCTGATTGAAAGACCTTGGGAGAACTACATTCAGAGAATGTTGATGGGTAGAGAACTTTGGGTGTGGCTCACTACTCTGTTTCCTCGAAACCATCGGAGAAATGAGCTTCAAATTCAAGTCCAAGGATAATTTCCCCCTTCCAAACACAACTCAGCAGCTCCTGGTACATTATTATAGTATCGAGTAACTCATCAAATTAGTATACCATAAAGGGCAGGGGTTAGATTTCATTCCCTTCACTTTGATTAGCATAATTACATGAGTAAATAAGGTGGCATGCGTTGCCACTTGACCTTAATCCAAATGACAAAGTTGGTTTGTATTTGAGATGCTAATTATATATTTGAGAAGTCCTTTTCTTCCTTATACTGGATTGGTATTTTCTTGCTTGAACCTTACACTCAAATATAATGTTTATTAAAAATATTAAAAGAATTGCTGCTGCATGACTCTCTCTTCTTTGGGTGCCCATATTTTTGTGTATGGGCATGTTCTTTTCTCTCTGGTTCCTTTTTTGCAGGTTCTAGGACGTGCTGCCGAGTGTGATGTCTTTGAGCCTGTGATTAAATAGCTCTCGTTGCTAGGCCTGTTGTCCCTCAGCTGCATCATCCAAGTGGTGTGCTTTCGGGTCTAGTCTCTGTTGTTTTGACTGTTTCTTTAATGCTTTTTCTGTTCTTGACTGGACGAGAGGCTACTCTCGTCGATGTCTTGAGGCTGCTCTTCTTGTTCTTGGGTCTTTGGGCTAGAGGCTGTGGCGCCTGATCATTTTGGATTTTGCTCTTTCTATGTTTAGCACAGGCCATTAGGAAAAGGGTAAAGAGCTTCTTGCGGACCTTCCAGCTCACTTAGGTTAGAAGATTGCAGCTGATCTCTGAGATAATATCTCTTTTTGTAAATATGCGTATTCTGCTTCTGCACAAAACAGTCTATTCATGCCACTAGAAGTCTCTAAAACAAACAATACGAGACTTGATTGACATGGTCACTTAGTACTAATAAAATCAACTTTCAAAAAAAAAAAGATCTTTAGGTAATTATCAAAATATATACTTAATTTTTTAAAATTGATAAAATATATACTTAAATTGATTTCAAGTCATTACTAGAAGTACTCACGTATTGACAATGAATTTAAGATGAAATTTTAAATATTTAACAAATTGAAAACTTAAATAATTTGTTAATAAGTTGATTTATTTACCTTTTAATGAGAATAAGAAAATGGATTCCATGATCAGGCATCTTGCCCCATTCAGAGTTAGGAGAAGAATATTTAAACATAGAAATATGTATAGAAGTAAATAATAGTGAAATTACATATTTTTAGAAGGAGGCAGAATAGTAGAGGCAGGGCATGGTGACCAGCTACAATCTATGGTAAAACTAACCTAACCCAACTGGCTTTTCCCTCAGAATGAAGTATATACTCGTTTGCTGTCACTATCTAGTATTTACTTGGATTTTTCGTAGAAATGATCCCGCGTGGTAACTTCGTCGTTGACTCACTGTAAAAGGTCGATTCCGGGTAAGTTCTTTTCTGTTTTCTTTTTTTCCCTCCAAATACGCAAACCGTTAACAGACGTTAGCTCAACAAAGAAGAGAAATCTTTTGCTAGCTGGAGCCTGGAGGCATGAAGAAATGGATAACAATTTTGCTACGCTCTTGGTCACTCCTTTGCTGTTGTTATCGTCGTTGGATTGCACTGAGGGAAGAGATGATGATGTCTTTGGGTCTGTCGGTTTCAGGGCTCAATCCAACAGAGGAAAGAAAGTTTCCGTGAAGATGGGCAGGGCTGAACAGGTATTTTGCAGCATAAGAACCAGACCAGACAAGATGGTTTTAATGTTCAAACTTTTGCACGGAAATTCTACTCTGGAGGAACTGGCAGGTATGGATTTTTTGTTGTTTTAGCCGAAGGAATAACTATCAGAACTTGAATCTATCATCTCTACCAACATCCTTATCCAACCTATATGTATTCATCTTTTGGTACATAGTGTAGCTATTACCTTAGCTGTTTGCTATTAGCGTCATCGACGTACATTTCTATAGTTTTGTTTTTCAATTTCAGTAAAATAACATGATAATGGTGAAAAAGCAAGTAGTACGTTTTGTGAGGTGAAATATATATATAT